AGGGCCTGCCTCATTTGGAAGGGTGCTGAGGGAGTTTTCTGGGGTGTAGAACATAAAGGGGAATCCCTGCCCCCGAGGAGGGGAACTGCCCGGCTTGTTCCTTGGCTGGTTGTATTTGAGAGGTCTGGGCATCGCCCTGGGGTGGGCTGGGGGACTAGGCCTAGGGCAGGGGCCAGCTCCTGACCACCTGCTGACCGATCTTGTGTCTGCCCCATGGGAGCCCTGGGATTGTTGCCTGTGGACCTCTTGCTGTGACAGGCAGGTGTTTTTTTTTTTTTTTTTTAAAGTCTGAGCTATTTTATCAATAAAGATATTTTGTAATAAGCAAGCAGTTTCCTTGTTGCCCCAGGGCTGCCACGAGCAGTTATTCTTCAGCTACTTGCAGGGTGGACTCCCTGTGTGGGCTGTGAGCTGGGTTACCCTCCCCGGGCCTGTTGTCCTCTCCTCCCCTACATGTGGCTCATGTGGCTTGCTGGTCCCCCTCCTCCACCTGTCTTTGTCCACTCAGCATTCTTATGCATCATTACAAATGGGAGGGGGGCAAGGGTGGCCAAAGGAGCCTGAGCCTGGCTGGTTAAGGAAGAAGAGATGGGAGGGTTTTCCCGAGGAGAAGGCTTTCAGGTTGGGTCTTGGAGGAAGAGCAGGAGTACATAGAGGCAAGATAAGGTGTTTGGGCAGGAGAAGGGCACATGCAAAGGCCGGCCTGTGGGGAGATTTGTGACAACGTGTGAGAGAGTCCAAGTGAGCCCACTGGGTGGTCAGGTGCAGGAGCCAGGGCCAGCGGAGGTAGCCAGACACCACCATGGGCAGGAGGAGCACAGGGAGAGAGGGAGAGGGAGGACAGTCGCTCTGCATGGTGTTTGCACGAGGTGGGGCAGGGGATGGGCTGCTTGCTCCAGGCTGCCCTGCACGGAGACGCAGTCACAGCCATCAGAGCTGGAAGGCCCGCAGAGGTCCCACTCCAAATGAGCCATGTAAGGCAGCTAAGACGCACTGTGAGAGGGGTCCAGAGTGGGCCCACCAGGCCTCCTGTCCCACTTAGCTGTCTCAGAGAGGGCGGCCTCTGGGGCCTCAACTGGGCTGGCCCCGACAGCAGGCTGGCAGCAGGTGGCCATGGTAAGGCAGACCTTAGGGAGGCGAGCACGGGAGGAGAAGCAGTCTGTGGGGTGAGGCCACCTTGCTCCTCTCACAGTGGCCAAGAAAATACACTTTTACCTCCTCCATACTGAGTAGTTCCACGCTTCTGCAGGGACAACCATCTGGGATGGCTGTCACTGGTAGATGTGAGGACCTGGGCTCCTCGGAGGGCTCAACGAGAAAGACATGTCGGGACCAGCAGTTGGCATAGTGGCTATGTCGCTGGCCCCATGTAGTTGACCACGGTTCGAGTCCCAGACCTGGTGACTTAAACACGCTGGGCGCGTGTGCATGAGTGCCCAAGATCCTGAGAGGAGAATGGAGGAGAAGGGATTGCGGCGTGGCCATCCCCCCTAGCGAGTGATTTCTCACTTTCTGTCTCTATGTCTCTCTCTGTCTTTCTGGTGAGCGCACACACCCTGTAGCAAAAAAAAA